CAGAAATTACAGACATCTAGTTAACTGTTATCTAGACATTACAGACATCTAGTTAATGGACATGTAGAACTGGAAAGGAACCATGCACAGCCAGACTGGGATTCAAACTCGGGACCCTCTGATCTCTAGAAAGTTGCTCTTACAAATCAAAATACCTGGCCACTGGCGATTGACCCAGTCCAGTTCTGCTATACAGTTATTGTGGAATCTCGTAAACACAGATATAACAGTTCCTGAACACAGGTCAGAACACACATTTTGCATGTTTACGAATGATCTCTTCCAATCCATTTCATTTTAACCGAAGATGATCATTCCATGAATATTTCAACAGATTGTTACAAGTTAAACTTCACTTGCTACTTTCACAAAGTTGACCTTCGAAAATACAAATAAATCTACCACAATCTGCATTTCAAAAATCCTATCTAAGACAGGTTCGAGGCTTACATGGGGCAGTTGTCGGGTAATGGCTGTAGGTCGCTGTTTTTTCTCCGGGAACTCTGGCTTTCCTCCACCACCAACTTTACAGACTTTGCAGACTATAAAAGTAAGAGTGTGTGGCATTTTTCATAAAGACTTTGAGAGAGCAGTGAATTCAAATATGGCTTGTAAACATGTGTTGAACATTGAATTCATACAGGAGTTATCACTAAACAGGAACAGACAGTACAAGGTATCGTGTATCCAATACACGACAATGGAATGCAAGATTTTCAAACTTTCAGAATTATTAAAATTCCAACATACACTTTAATACGACATATTATATAACTTAACAATATATTACTTAACTTATTGAAAGGCTTAACTAACATTGTGTTGTGCAAATTAAGCTTTTCACCATCAGTCAATCACAAGAGAAGATATTTGAGGTAACATCGTTTATTACAGTTCTATTGCATAATTAACATAAAATACAATGTACATGTACCAGGGTACATGATCATATACACAACTATTCTCAACTTTGTGCAAATACTGCTACGATAAAAATTATTTGTACATAAAAGTATTAAATTAATTAATTTTATAAATAATATGCAAATTAACATTTAAAGCAAAAACATGTATAGATAAATTGTTTCTTTCATACCAAATTGTGAGACTTAAGTATGTGTAAAATATGTCTTGATGCCTGTTTACTGAATATTCTCCTACTCTTCCTACAAATTCACTCAAGTTTCTGTTAAATTCTTCATTCATTCAATTCAAGTAAATTGTTAATATTTGTTTAATAATAAATTAAAGGCTGAACTGATATCATTTTTTTTGACTGGATTTAGAATAAAAATTACTCTAATTGAATGTTGGAGACAACATGTGGTCTAGAAATAAAAGTAGGTACAGTATATCCAGTAAGGTTAAAAACTTTACCTATATTTACCTGTATATCGGTACGGGACACACTGACCACAAAGACCTATATTTACCTGTATATCGGTGCTGGACACACCGACCACATATATTGTGTTAAGCCTAATTTTACAAAAGTGTCTTACACTACAATATTTACCACAAAACACCAACGTCCGAAAAACTAAATATCACAAATAATAATTTTCATGAAATACAAAGAAATTCCTTGGGAACAGAGTACATGGTGTACATTAATACAAGTATTTTAGTCATATTACAAGCTGTGTAGAAATTACAACAACGAAAAAATCTCATTAAAAACATTTCCACTCATTTTCCTTTCGGAAGTAATACACCACCTTGACATGGTTGCACCAAGTTTCATTTGCTAAATGCCACATCAAACACATTTCTTACAAAGGACAATTTAATCATTCTTACTTTAGACTGATGGTAAGGTCATATTAGGCCATTATCTTAAAAATCTTAGAATCAAAATCCAATATTTACATGTCCTTGGACTCAATCTTATCGCCATCGAAAATAATATGTAATTTATTTCATATTTTTTAATAATCATTTTTAATTGTATTGGAAACAATCTAAAATCTGACAAGAATCGAGGTTCAATCAGGTCTTTAAACATACTTCTACTAAAACATTCCACAACCAATCACAGAGCTATCTTTTTTCACATTCTATCATAACTAAGGCAACATACAACATACACTTGACTAAATTCTTGTGAAACTTGGTCAAATGTTGATTTTTTTCATAAAAATCATTTGTGAAAGATTTGAGATGAACATGTAAACCAATTGCAACTTCAACACTTAGGTTGGAAATCCCTGAAGACTGTGGAAGTCAGAAACCAATGGAAGCCAGGGTAGTTGGAAATCCCTGAAGACTGTGGGAGTCAGAAACCTAGTAGACTGTGGGAGTCAGAAACCCAGTAGACTGTGGGAGTCAGAAACCCATTAGACCGTGGAAAAAGCAAAAGCTTGCTAAGAACATACTTACATCTTCCAAAATACTGCTACAGTTAAAACATATGAGGATTACCTACCAAACTTTAAATGTTATGAACAGGACAAATATATGAAATCTTGATGCTGTTATGTATTTTATTTCTTCTGTTATTTATATTCATAATAAATATGATATCACATTTATATCTATTGCTGTAATACTACAGGCAAACTTAAATTGGTATATCACATAACGGCACAACGACCATTCATCCAATTTAAACTTTTCCATTTAGCACTTGAAATAAGAATGAATTTGCCTACCAAATTCTTCATTAAAAGCGCTGAAATAAATCAACCACTCAGATAAGTGTGTCTACAGTAAATTGCAAAATATTTAATACTAAACTTCACACAATAAGGTACCTTTGTTCTTAATTCTGTTGGAAATGTCACAAAATATTCTCTTTTTGTTCCAAGTACTACTCCATTCTCTTTCAAACATTGGCCTGACCTGTTATAGAGATTACCCTACCCCATCCCCACTTTGCCCTGTGCCTCTCCCAAAACTGATTATTTTGCTTTGTGTAAAATGGTCAAAATGGTCACAGACTGTATATTTGTCAAAATGGTCACAGACTGTATATTTGTCAAAATGTTCATGGACTGAAGTGAAATAAAACTAGACATTTTACATACCATTTTTACCCAGCAAATTACAATTACACACCAAATTCAATTTCTTTTCATTGTTTATTGAAATAATTTTATGATATGTCAAAACTGACATATAACAGAAAGAGACTAGTGTTTGGTTAAAAGGGAAGGTAATGGACAAAAATAGGTAAACAAACAATGTAAGCGGAGGCAGCCTTCCACAGATTGGTAAACAACCAGGTAAGGGGAGATAACCTTCCACAGATTTGTCTTAACCAGGTATGGGGAGGTTACCTTCCACAGATTGGTACACAACCAAGTCAGGGGAGGTAACCTTCCACAGATTGGTACACAACCAGGTAAGGGGAGGTAACCTTCCACAGATTGGTACACAATCAGGTAAGGGGAGGTAACTTTCCACATTGGTACACAACCAGGTCAGGGGACCCCGGTAACCTTCCACATATTGGAACACAACCAGGTAAGGAGAGGAAACCTTCCACATAATTGGTACACAACCAGATAATGGGAGGTAACCTTCCACACATTGGTACACAACCAGGTCAGGGGAGGTAACCTTCCACAAATTGGTACACAACCAAATCAGGGGAGGTAGCCTTCCAGAGATTGGTATACTACCAGGTAAGAAGAGGTTACCTCAGGTATCATCCTTTTAAACAGTTATGGAGAGATAACATGGCAGCTTCCTAGTAAGGTAAAGGGAGGTAACCTCCAGTCTCCCAGTAAACCAACAACAGATCAGATAACAAACAGGTAAAAGGAGGTAACATGCATAGAGGCCTCCAATTAAAATGACACACAAACAGATAAAGGGACATAATCCTGGCAGACTTCCATCAAACAGATCAGTACACAAACAGGTCAGGGAAAGACACATCAAACACAGCCTTGGGTGACATCTGGAGGGATTTACGCATCCTCTCTGGACTGTCGGGCGGGCGGGACACCATGTCCAGAATCTCCGTAAGCTTGGTATGGAACTTACATGACTGAAATACAATATGTTAACATAGAATTGATAAGAGAGAAATAGTAATGCAGAAATAGTTAGTGGAGCTATTTGTATTATATTCCATGACGTTTTGAAGGAACAACAATGCTATACACCACCTTGAGCAGATACTGTGACAAACTATAATTGTCTTTACAAAATATTGTCTGTTTAGTTGCTTGTTTTGACTTATTGCTGATACAGATATACTTACTTTTTGTTCAGAGCGAGCCACAATCTCCTCAAATGGGGCGGTGCGGTAAGTTTGATAAATCTCCTGTCTCTTCCTTGCTTCTTCCTCTTTCTTCTCAGTGTTGTCCTCAGCTTTAACAAAAGACAGATGTCATCGTTGTGTAAAGTTAACTGTAGAAATACTGTCACTTAGACAGTAGTCTTGATAATAATCCAGCCACATTTGTTTCCAGCTAAAACAGCTTGATTAACTTATGGGCTTGATCACAGAGACCTTTTTGTATAGAAAAAGATACTATCTAGTAATACAACCAGAACAATGGTGAATGGATAGTTGGACAACCCAATGTGGGAGTTAACTGTATTTCTATGTGGGGATTGTCATCCAGGTAAGGGGAGGTAATTACAGGTACTCACCTAACATCTTCTTCAGGGACTCGACTGTGATCTCTTCATCTGTCCATCTCTGTAACCAGCGATGAAAACATACAAAATTAACTACATTTTTGTCAACTTTTACATAAAAAACATACTACATACCAAAAGGAATCCCCCAAATTTTTTGACAATTTTTATTTGGAATTTCCAACTAATCTAAAATCTTGAGGTAATTAAGATGACTTTAAAAACAATTTCAGAAAGTACAATTACATATTAAAGAGTACTTGCTCCGGAGGCAGATTCTCAATAATGCTACTAGCCTTAACAATATTTTCATAATAAACATTGAAACTCTCGCCAGCCCTGAAACAAAGAAAATTTGACTCCCCTGAATTTACATGGGGACAGTAATTGTGATAATGATAGACTATCATTACAAAAGGCAATAGCATGTTTTACATACACCAAATCAATTATACTGATGATTTCCTGAGGTCTCCAATAACTATACATGTACAATCATAAAGACCCTGTTTACAAGTCCAATAGAAGTACCAGTCAATGCCAAAAGTCAATTAACCTCTGCCTACCAGTAAGTCCAAACACTGTCAAACACTGTTGACCTCATAGCTGACCACTGAAGATCTGTCAGTGGCTGCTTGATAAGGGAGATGAACAACTGTGTTATCCCGGTAAAACATGTATTGTATTGTCCATGTGATGTACTTTTATGTATTGATGCAATGTTTTACCAAATAAATCTATCTATCTATCTATAACAATAGGCTTACCCTGGAGAATATCGGCGAGCCTTCTGCGCTCTCAATATCAAAGTTGATGGAGCCAACGTCACTGGCACTTCCACTTACGGCCATATCTATAAATATACCACAGGAATATTGGTTCACAGCGCCATAGTAACAGAATTCATTTATATCTTAATTAGAACTGAATAAAAGTCCACTGATAAAAGAAACAGAAATGGAATTGAATGACATCTCTATCATTTTTTTTACTACAAAACTGATTTATGAATTCTACATGAAATTGGACAGCGAAGTAAGTAAACTGGGAGGAATTTTCAAAAACAGAGTCACCTTACATAGAAAAGATAATCTACTTTGTATCAACAAAATCTTAGCTTGGTTGTTCAAAGCCTAATTTCTGTCCACAAATCACCTCACAGAATCACAGAAACTTTTAAATGATGATAATTATTTTAGAAATTTTATTTTTGTTTCAATCAGGTAATAATTGGCTATAGGAAAAGTTATTTAAAAACAGTTTAAATGTATGAACTATTGATTAAATAAGGAAATATAACAAATATTTCCCCTGTAGTCAAAAATAAAAATAAATATTATTAAAGAACTGCCTTGCATACTGTTGTGTGCATATTATACCGTACACTAACTGCAATAAGCATGGGGAGAATTCAGGACTCATAAAAAAACACAAAATTTACAGAATTTTTTCCATTTCTATTTTTACTCTAAAATGAAATGGATATTGATGTAACCTTGAAGTCTTGAACTTTCCCCACACAAATATTTAAAGTGCATGATTCTAGCTGCTGTTTTTCCTCATTACCAATAAATCAAATCCAAACTAATCTGAAAAGGTTGCACAAGCACAGCACACTACAGTTTTAACAAACTACAACACCCTCAAGGGTATACTAGAATGCTTTACAGCTGTTCAACCCTTGACCCCAGACTTTGACCTTGAACTTGGGATGAGGATCCTGAAAATGATACATGTACCACATCTAAATCCAGAATGTCTATAAATTTAAGTTTCATTAAATGACGTTAATTGTTAAAAGTTAATGTGATGAAGAAAATAGTAAACAAATCACTTCATAAAATGGCATATTAAACTGCAACACAGCCATCTTTAATTAAGATTTTCTCAAAGGTTTTACACTTATAGAAGTTAGACATTTAATTCCAATAGTGTTGGTCAATTTCAAAAACATCTTTACATGCAAATATTGATGCAAGTCTGGGATGGGGAAAGATTTAAAAATCCTCCACACAATGCAGTCCAACCTGTACTAAGAGACAATCCTTTTTAAGTCCATAAAGAGATCTGTCAATACAGGTTCACTTCACAATGTAACGTCACGCTACCACAATTGGTCCACTACCCAAATTGGTACACGGTCAGAAAATGGTTCGAATAGTACTTAAACATTGTATTTGAGCATTTTCACACGACAGTATATAACATAAGCGATATTTATCAGCATTTCCACAGAATAGTTTGGTTTTTAGGAATATTTTAAGAGTACACGATTGTTTCAAATAAAATGTATCAGAAAACCAGTCGATTTCTGTTTTTTATAACTGGATAATATGAAAGGGGGGTATATATGCAGTATGGTATTTATAAAAGCAACTTATTTTGTTGCAATCGGCACATCAATTAATAGAAATAAAAACAAATTTCATAGCCTATGATATGGTGTATCAATTTGGGTACTTATCATGGCCGCAAAAATGGGACGACATGTCTCACGAGTTTAGCCTTTTATTTTCAGAAACAAATCAATGAGAATCAAAACTTTCCCTGAAAATGAACTACAATTGGTAGTCTTTGTCAAGGGTCAAGAAACATTCAAGATACAAAATCTGAATTTTTAAATATCGCTGAAAAACTCAAAATTGTACCAATTGTGGTAGCTTGACGTTAATCACTACGATGGGATCATTAAAATTGGCTTCTTCACACAGGTGGTCACTTAATGGAAGTGGTCACTTAATGGAAGTGGTCTCTTAATACAGGTTCAATTCACCATCAAATCACAACCAGTGAGATCATCCAAAGTGGCCTCTAAACACAAGTGGTCACTTAATGGAGGTGGTCTCTTAATACAGGTTCAATTCACCATCAAATCACAACCAGTGAGATCATCCAAAGTGGCCTCTAAACACAAGTGGTCACTTAATGGAGGGGGTCTCTTAATACAGGTTCAATTCACCATCAAATCACAACCAGTGAGAGCATCCAAAGTGGCCTCTAAACACAGGTGGTCACTTAATGGAGGTGGTCACTTAATACATGTTCAATTCACCATCAAATCACAACCAAAGGAAACATCCAAAGTGGCCTCTAAACACAGGAGGTCACTTAATACAGGTTCAATTCATCATCAAATCACAACCAAAGGGAACATCCAAAGTGGCCTCTAAACACAGGTGGTGACTTAATACATGTTCAATTCACCATCAAATCACAACCAGTGAGATTCATCCAAAGTGGCCTCTAAACACAGGTGGTCACCTAATGGAGGTGGTCACTTAATACATGTTCAATTCCCCATCAAATCACAACCAAAGGGAACATCCAAAGTGGCCCCTAAACACAGGTGGTCACTTAATACAGGTTCAATTCACCATCAAATCACAACCAAAGGAAATATCCAAAGTGGCCTCTAAACACAGGTGGTCACTTAATGGAAGTGGTCTCTTAATACAGGTTCAATTCACCATCAAATCACAACCAGTGAGATTCATCCAAAGAGGCCTCTAAACACAGGTGGTCACCTAATGGAGGTGGTCACTTAATACATGTTCAATTCACCATCAAATCACAACTAAAGGTAACATCCAAAGTGGCCCCTAAACACAGGTGGTCACTTAATAGAGGTGGTCACTTAATGGATGTGGTCACTCAATACATGTTCAATTCACCATCAAATCACAACCAAAGGGAACATCCAAAGTGGCCTCTAAACACAGGTGGTCACTTAATGGAAGTGGTCTCTTAATACAGGCTCAATTCACCATCAAATCACAACCAGTGAGAGCATCCAAAGTGGCCCCTTAACACAGGTGATCACTTAATGGAAGTGGTCTCTTAATACAGGCTCATTTTACCATCAAATCACAACCAGTGAGAGCATCCAAAGTGGTCTCTAAACACAGGTGGTCACTTAATGTAGGTGGTCACTTAATACAGGTTCAATTCACCATCAAATCACAACCAAAGGGAACATCCAAAGTGGCCCCTAAATACAGGTGGTCACTTAATGGAGGTGGTCACTTAATGGAGGTAGTTGTATGAGTAGGTTTGACAGTGTTAGAATAAATAGGTGGAGTGATTTATTAAGGTATGGATGGAGTCTTATTTTTTTAATCTGAAGGAATCACATAGATGAAGACATGAAACACTATTATAACTAGTCAATGTTATGTTCTTGAGAACAACCTCATCAAGACAACTAATCAGTAATTCAGACACAAATTATGGACCGGCAAACTACTAGAATTAGAATGCAATCACAGGTCCTTACTGCATAGTCACAGAGGTTAGTTAGTGTAAGAATGGCAGATTTCAACAACCGATGTATCCTCCAAAAAAGTTCATTTTATTGATGACACTTCCCAGATACATCAAGTGGACACCATGCTGGATCAGTTTACTATCACCAGCCAAAGGTTATACAAATGAAGGATATAAAGCCCACTACAGACGAAACACTAAGGAACTCCACCGTTTGGGGTTTTCAGAGGTTACCTCCCCTAATTCACTCTGGATATAACTAAAGCACAACAGGGTCAGAGTACTACCAATGACAAGGTAGTTCAGATGGTTTGAGCAAAGGATTCATCTCCTGGTCTGGCACTTTTATACTCAATGATACCACAGATATGATTTATTACAGCTATAATCATTATAAAAATAGTTTCTAATGCATAACAAGTGGAGTCATTGCATAAATAATGTTTAGTATCTTAAACAAATCGTATCATGCTGTTGATTTTATTTCACCACTTGAACAGCTAAAATATTTATATTTTCAGTAAATTGATATTATAATCTAGTCATGAGGAATATTAGTGATATATATGGATACAAAAATCTGTGTTGATATAGTTTGTGTTATATCAGTATTACAATAATATATATAACGGAATATTGGAGAGAGGCAGAGAACCCAGGATATAACCATAGTAGATTACTTTGTTAGAATCCGTGCAGTTAATACAACATATCACAACACCCTACACCGACAAATCATCGGGTTGTCATGCTTGTGTCTCCGTATCACTTCTCAGAATAATTCCTTTCTTTAACACAATATTATATCCCCTCCTGCCTTTATCATTAAACTGCTATGATAAATTCATCTACAGACCATTTTTTCTTTAACTACTCAGAGTTTAACAGCAGCTGGTTTGTTTTGCAAATTTTATCTGCACTTGTAGAAATATCTAACATCTTAACGCAATCATCCACATCTTAGTACTCTGACTACACAGAAAACCAGTAGCTACGTCAGACAGACATGCTAATATCTTTCAAATATGCTATTTTAGTCATGATTACTATTATATTTATCGAGATACTTTTAAATAAAAAAACACTTCATCTTTATGTATTATTAAATGGTAGCTATGTAACACTTTAACCTGGTCTGCAGCTGTAGTTTTATTTAACATGAACAGTTTCTAGTGCAAAACCAAATTTCTTCAAACTCCATGAAATAAGCTGTCATATACTGCATAAAAAACTGTTATTTTTTCCAATCAGCTCAACTATCATCTGCAAGTATATTTACTTAATACTATTTCACGAATTACTGGGAAAATTAAATCCTATTTCACCAATCACCAGGACTGTTAAATCCTATTTCACTAATCACCAGGACTGTTAAATCCTATTTCGCCAATCACCAGGACTGTTAAAACCTATTTCGCCAAACCCCAGGTACATTGTATATTAAGATACTATTCCACCATGATACATTTCACCAACCACCAGGAATATTAAGATACTATTTCACCACCCAGCAGAAGACACCACACGGTCACATTATACTGACAACAGGCGAACCAGATGGAGCGCTTTAAAGTTTCCACATTAAAATGACCTTGACCTACTTTCAAGGTCACAGGGGTCAAATATGTCAAAAATTTCAAACAACAATATCCTCAGAACCATTTGAACTAGAGTCATGATACTTAGGTATGTTATGTAGACCAGCAGTGCAAATCATTTTCTTAATTGCAGTAATGAGGTTTAAGGTCAACTTTAAGTGCTAGTCAGGGATCAAAGGTCAACATGGGTTAAAAGCTTTTTAAACAATCTTCTTCTCAAGTTCCATAAGGCCAAGGGTCATGCTATTTTGTCAGTAAGTACCTGGGATGGGGTGCTATAATATTTCCTCATTGAAATGACCTTAACCTATTGTCAAGGTCACAGGGGTCAAATATGTTAAAAACTTTAAACAACAATATCTTAAGAACTATTTGGTCTAGAGACATGATACTACAAACTTTGGTATGTTATGTCGACCAGCTGTGTAAATCGTTTCCTTTATTACAGTAATGAGGTCAAAGGTCAACTTTAAGTGCTAGCTGGAGTCAAAATATGGATAAAATCTTTAAAATCAAAATTTCAAATTTCAAACAACAATATCTCCAGAACCATTTGAGAGATTTTAAAATTTCTTGTGTTCTAGTTACCAAATTTGGTCTGAAGTTACCTATAAAGCAGTTTCATGTAACAAAAGAAACAGGTGAGCAATACAGGACCTCTGGTCTGGACTTCTTGTAGTAAGATGCAAGTTCACAAACCACATGGACTATTAAGATACTATTTCACCAAGATACTCTTTCACAAATCACTAGGACTATTTAGATACTATTTCACCATGATGCTCTTTCACAAATCACTGGCACTATTTAGATACTATTTCACCATGATTCTCTTTCGCAAATCACTAGGACTATTTTGATACTATTTCTCCATAATACTCTTTCACAAATCATTAGGACTATTTAGATACTAGTTCACCATGATGCTCTTTCACACATCACTGGCACTATTTATATACTATTTCACCAATCCCTGGCACTATTTAGATACTGTTTCACCAATCACTGGCACCATTTAGATACTATTTCACCAGGATACTCTTTCACAAATAACTAGGACTATTTAGATACTAGTTCACCATGATGCTCTTTCACACATCACTGGCACTATTTAGGTACTATTTCACCAAGATACTCTTTCGCAAATCACTAGGACTATTTTGATACTATTTCTCCATAATACTCTTTCACAAAGCACTAGGACTATTTAGACACTATTTCACCATGATACTCTTTTACAAATCACTGGCACTATTTAGACACTATTTCACCATGATACCCTTTCACAAATCACTGGCACTATTTATATACTATTTCACCATGATACTCTTTTACAAATCACTGGCACTATTTAGGTACTATTTCACCAAGATACTCTTTCGCAAATCACTAGGACTATCTAGATACTATTTCACCAATCCCTGGCACTATTTAGATAGTATTTCACCAATCACTGGTACTATTTAGATACTATTGAACCATGGTGCTGTTTCACAAATCACTGGCATTATTTAGATCCTATTTCGCCAATCACTGGCACTATTTAGATAGTATTTCACCAATCACTGGAACTATTTAGATACTATTTTACCAGGATGCTCTTTCTCAAATCACTGTCACTATTTAGATACTATGTCACCAATCACTAGGACTATTTTGATACTATTTCACAAATAACTGGCACTATTTAGATACTGTTTCACCATCATACTCTTTCACAAATCATTAGGACTATTTAGATACATTAAGATACTATTTCACGAATCACTGGCACTATTTAGAGACTATTTCACCAATCACTAGGACTATTTTGATACTATTTCTCCATAATACTCTTTCACAAATCACTGGCTCTATTTAGATACTATTTCCCCAAGAGACTCGTTCACAAATCACTAGGACTATCTAGATACTATTTCACCATAATACTCATTCACAAATCACTAGGACTATTTAGTTACTATTTCACCATGATTCTCTTTCGCAAATCACTAGGACTATCTAGATACTATTTCACCAACCACTGGCACTATTTAGATACTATTTCACCAATCACTGGCACTATTAAATACTATTTTTTGTATCACTGGGCTACTAAACATCACTTCACCATTTACCTGGGTTATTAGACATTATTTTACTAGGGTAGTCAACATTATTTTACTAGGTTATTAGACAACATTTTACTAGGTTATTAGACATTATTTTACTAGGTTATTAGACATTATTTTACAAGGTATTAGACATTATTTTACTAGGTTATTAGACATCATTTTACTAGGTATTAGACATTATTTTAGCCTATTAAATACATTGTACTAATTCACCAATAACATGTAGTATCATTAGATTATCATTTCACTAAACTGCAAGATCTTTTCACCAGTTAATTAACAACTATATTACATATCGCCGATCAGACAGTGGTGGTCATTTTGACAATAATTCATGTTCTACCTCTCATTCACCTCTCTGCTACAACAACAGTGATAAACCTTTGATCATGTGAGGTAAACACCTGAAAATGATTTATTTAATCTAATTCACAATTCATACAGATTAATCAGGACCAAATTCAAGCACTTTTCCAGCACTTTCTTGCAATTTTCGACAAAAGTTCAAGATTTTCTGTTTTACAAAAATTTTTAGTGTATAAAGCAAGAAAATTGAACGAAATAAAAACAGATTTGAAACAACCGACTAACTTCTTGTGTTCAATTCTATAACAACATAAAACTTTGAAACACCTTATTTTGCAAACATACATCTTCCAGGAATATTAATTTCATGGATAATTACAATTGATACTGAACTAGAATCCTCTTGTGCAACTTCAGTATTGGCAAATAAAATCTAGACACAGTTGCAAATTATCACAAAAACATTAACATGGTTTACAGTCATGAGGGACACCTTAAAATAAGTCACCCCTGCTCATGGAAAAACCACTTTATAAAACATTGAAAACATCAGCTCTCCTTCTTGGCATTCTGAAAGGCAAGTCACAGATCCTAAAATATGACATGAGCATGTGCTACGTATACCGACACTATATACTACGTCACTGATACTAGGATATTTTTTACAACAGGGATATTTTTCATGCCAGATTTATTTTTGCGATTTTCAAATTAAGGTGAATCAATTAATTCAACACAAAAGAGAACATTTCTTGTCTAGCAACAAGACATTCAGGTACCTTACAATGTTAAAACCACAAACTGTGCAAATGACTGAAATCAGCACATTTTCCAGTTATCGCAAAAATAACACTTCTGCGTAAATGTGAAAAATATCACTGCTTGAAACGAAAGCAATACCATAGTCCTACATATACTGTGTTACTGACATGATTCTGTCTGACAGAGTTAGTGAGGCAGTGTTAGATACGATAACAGGATAGGTGGATTTGATGCAGTGACAAGTCTTTGTGAAAAGTACCAACAATTAAGTGCATCACCAACATTTGTTTCTCACATTATACTCATGCTTCCCTATTTATTAAAAATTATGTTCTTAAAATAACATATATCAGTCCATATAATAAGTCAGCCCTGCACATGGAAAACACACTTTCTGAAGAATGAATTGTAAAAGGTTGATGATTTGGATAGGCCACTGATAAGTGATAGGGGTTTGAATGAGTGATGAGAAGGAGGAGTCGGTGATGAGTGGTAGGAGTCAGTGACAAGTGGGAGGAGTCAGTTAGGAGTGGGAGGAGTCAGTGATGAGTGGTATGAGTGGGAGGAGTCAATAACCAGAGTGGAAAGAGCCAATGACCAAAGTGGAAGGAGTCAGTAGTGAATTGGAGAAGACAGTGATGAGTGGGAGGAGTCAGTGTTGAGTGGGTGGAGTAAGTGTTGAGTGGGAGGAGTCAGTATTGAGTGGGAGGAGTCAATGACAAGAGTGAGAGATTCAATTTGTGGATAATCTACATGCATGGGTTGTGAGTGATTTCTTTAATAAAATCAGCTGTGTAGAAACTTCAAATGGAATCAAACAACACAGTGATTGTTAAGACTTTTGTGTGATAATCAATATTATTTTTACGTGTGAAATAGTTCCTATCCCTGAATAAAGTATTTCAAAGAGGCAGAAATTGTAGATATGTAACTGGGTCAGCAGGTATACCTATGGAACACTCCTTGCTTCGTTTGTCTCATTATGCAAGCAAGTGGAAAACATCCAAGCAGCTAGCCAATCTCAAAGTAAAAGTCTGCTTGTACCCATCAACCCACAATCAAACAGGATCAAAACGTGAGGATATATGTGAGAAACAATATGCAACATGCCAGCTGGGCTGACTAGAGTAACAACAAAAGTTTTACCGTTCGGGTCCCCATTCCTCACACCTATAAACGTAGGACGCCAAATCAGGGTTAATGTACAGATAGGACACCAACAAAACATTGAGGACAAAGAATAAAACATACTAAACATCTAAGTCACAAATACATGAAGGACGCTCAAATTGTATTTAACATGAAGGACGCTCAAATTTATATGTAGGACATTCAAACATTATTTTACATGTAGGACGCTCAAATGTTATTTTACATGAAGGACGCTCAAACATACACGTAGGATGCTCAAACATATTTTACATGAAGGACGCTCAAACATTATTTTACATGAAGGACGCTCATACATTATTTTACATGAAGGACGCTCATACATTATTTTACATGAAGGATGCTCAAACATTATTTTACATGTAGGACGCTCAACATTTTTTTACATGAAGGACACTCATACATTATTTTACATGAAGGACGCTCAAACATTATTTTACACGCAGGACGCTCAAACATAGTTACATCTAGGACGTTCAAATACCATTAACATAAAAAGTTAATACACAAATATGAAACAGATGAAATTAATGTATAGATAAATTCAGGTTAGAATGCATTTTTCTACAAACAGGGTTGATGTTTTACCCAACATTTATAACAACCAGTAACATGGTCATGTGATCAAACATCATCCATATAATCTTAAAATTTTAAATCCTGATATTTTGTGATTGACAACAATCAAGTTATACATAGTCAGTCTTCACTGAACTGTAGGATTTATTTAATTTTGAAAATACATCTTTCTCAAAACTCACCCATGGAGAACAATGCATCCCTACTTTAGTAAAACTGAATCTAGAGAAAACCATTTAAAAATAAACATATTGCAGATCTACGTCACACTTGTGTAATTAAAAATCATATTAAAAAGATTGCTTTAAAAAAGCTACTAAGAGAATCCTGGTGGAGGGATGGTGGCATCAGAAAAAAGATCAGTGTGTGCTCAAAGATTAAGGGTTAAAGGTCTGGTAGAAATATAGGTGTCTACTGTACCGAGTGTGCTGAAGGGCTTGACGGCTATCGGATTGGTCAGTCTGGAAGCATCTTGGCCACAGTCCACAAGGAATTGCTGTAGTGTGGCCTGGTCAAACAGACACTTAGACTGGACATTGTCAATTTGAGAGTAGCTGAAGTGGACATGAATAAATGATATTAGTATTCCAGATCTAACAAACTCTTCTTTCATTAAATTTGATTTCTCATACAAGATTATAGTTTTGAACATGAAACCAACAAGAGATAATCTAACCAATCACTACTATTTTGAGAGGAACAATATCTGTAAATTTATCTTCAAAATCTGTCAATGCCACACACCACAGGCAAACACCAGTAACAGGAACAGAATCGATAGCTAACAGGACCACAGGATTAAAACACTTTGTAAACTTCTACACTTCATGTCTGACCAGGGCAGATTAAATATGTTTATACATTTAAATTTCAAATCTAAATTATACAAAGCATCTGACAATGTTAATTTTATAATTGATTTACCAAATTTGAACATGCACCTGATTTCTTGCAGGTAACTTCAAAATCAATTTTATATTATACATAATCCTGGGAAACTTTCATCAGTCCAATAATCAATCTCCACCAGTAAAATCTATATTATTATACATAATCCTGGGAAACTTTCATCAGTCCAATATTCAATCTCCACCAGTTAAATCTATATTATTATACATAATCCTGGGAAATTTTCATCAGTCCAATATTCAAACTCCACCTGTAAAATCTATATTCAATCTCCACCAGTAAAATCTATATTCAATCATTGTTAACTTCACCCTCCACATATAATTAGTATATAATTATACACCAGGTAGTATATGATAAATTTATCTCATTGCTGAGGGTGAAAATATTACTGTGGTGAACATTTCTCAGTATTAAAACACTATACATANTATTTCTCAGTATTAAAACACTATACATGTATTATATTTCTCAGTATTAAAACACTATACATGTATTATATTTCTCAGTATTAAAACACTATACATGTATTATATTTCTCAGTATTAAAACACTATACATGTATTATATTTCTCAGTATTAAAACACTATACATGTATTATATTTCTCAGTATTAAAACACTATACATGTATTATATGTCATTGTGTGTGTCACTATTTGTAAACATGATATCAAAGTTTTACTTTTTACACAAACAATATACGTATTAAACGTGTCGCAACGTTTCAAGACCGACTGGTCCCTTGTCAAGCTATCTGATAGCTTGACAACCGGTCTTGAAACGTTGCGACACATTTAATACATACATTGCTTGTGTAAAAAGTAAAACTTTGATATCACATATTTCCAAACTGATGAATCTTATTGAAGATGTTTGTAAACATGTTTATATTTTGCAATTAAGCAATATTTTGAATGATAATGATGAAAAATCCTGTGAAATGCAAAACTTTCATGCATATGAAAAGCCCTTCACCTACTTCGACTTTGTCAGTACATGTAATACTAAATTCTCATCAAGATCTAGCACCAAATTAACCAAGTCTGAGTCTAATCAATCAATTTTACTTGCTGAGTCTCATTAATTCAGTTTACCTGCTTAGTTTCATTAAGCTTACTTGCTAGATCAAATTAATCAAGTTTACCTGCTGGGTCTGTTGGATCTGTTAAATGCAAAGTCTGGCAGTAGGTAGGGAGCCTCATCACGTCTGATGTCTATCACCTGCACGAGAAATAAGACCTTTACGTATTCCTATTCTAAATCATACTATGGTAGAACCAGATGGATTTCAATGACTTCATGAACCCCATCTCTGCCTGTCATTTTTACTGTAACGACAATGCGTATTTAATTGTTGGTCTTCATTTGGAATCAAATGATCATAATTTGAAATCAACCTGGATCAGTCTGTCTGGATTCATATTTTACAATTCAAATGCAGCTAAGTGCTGTCCATTTGAATATTAGCAATAACACTGCCCAAGAGATTTATCTTCATTTTTATTTTTAAATAAGTCTGTTTCCTCAAATAAACATTTACTGAAAAGTCATCCCACCAGGCAAAAGATACAATATTCCTTAACCTCGAAATGTCAAATGAGTTCAGTTTAATGGTGATTATATCAAAAGATAGTCTGCAGGTGGTTAATAAGTGATCAGGAGAGCCTGGCCATGGTTATCTTTTAAAATCCAAGGGTCCTGCTCTCGATGTCATGCAAATGCTCTGTACCCTTGAATTTTGACAGAATTAAATACTCACGGTTAGCTATTTCCGTAACGGTTTCAAGACAAGTCAAATTCTGTCATCAGAAAATCAAAGCGTGCAGAGAAGTATGTCAAGAGAGTAAACGTGATATTTCAATGATGGGCGAAAAACGTTGGTTAGATATTGCAAATTAATTTCAATACATTCAGTTCTATTTTGAGAAAAAAAATAAAGGTACAGACTAACACCAAATTTATTTTATGTTCAGACAATGTCTAATTCTTGATCAGTCAAGATCAGACCACTTACTTCTTTGACGTATTGACAGAGTGGTGTCTGGCCGACAAGCTGGGCCACAAGGTTGATGAACCCTGCCACCAGTCCATGTATGGCACACCTGTGGGTCATGGGCAGACTCGTTTGTGTCATCACTGAATGCTGTGGAAAAGAAATGACAATATTACCGACTGTGAGGTTAAGGATAAATACTACCTTACTGTGACAAGCATCCCCTTAATTAATAGAAGAATCCCACCTTAATGTACATGTAACATGTGAATGGTAATTAGAAGACACATTTGAAAGACAAACATGTGGTCATTCTGAACACAGAATGTGTATCATTTAGTGTTTTATTTGATGAAAAAAAACCCCACTTTTTGCAGCGTCCCACAAATTCAATGATTAGATATGAAAATTCATATTTCAAGCACAGCATACCACTATTTCAGGTTGCTGAGCTAAACCGAAATTTCTACACTTCAAAAATCTATGTAAACAGTCTATGTAGACTACTGTTGAACAGGGAGTCTATGTAGAATTCCCTAAACACAATAATGTTTCAAGTCCTACCTGTATATCTAGTCCAAGTCGCAGCATTTCGGTGAGGATTTCCTCAGAGCCAAGCTCCACAGCCAACAGACACATGGTACAATACAGGGCCTCGTAATTATCTACTTTGTTACTCTCCATCTGTACATTTTCCATGATGTGAGTGTAGAACTGGACATTGTTCTGTAAACAAAAGTTTTCTCCCTTTAAATTTATACAAAAGAAATTACCTCACTTTGAAGGTCTACCAATAGAGTTATTTCCCTTTGTAGTCATAAACACCAGCTTCAATCATCCATGCAACATCATGCAATGGTTTAACAGACCTATACTTTTTGTCTGTTGCTAACAAAATGGAAGATAATGCTGCCTCTAGTTTCAGTTCTCCCCTCTGTGTATCAGAATGTGAAGTCACTAACCTTTTTCATAAATAAGCTGTCTTGTCCCGATACTTTTGCTTCATTAAGAGCCACCTGGCTAATATCTTTGCGGATACTGAAATATATTAAAAACAACTCACGTACAATTTTTCAAACAATATTTTCGCAAAGTATGCCATGATGTTGATGAATTCTTACCCATGTGCATAACATGAGGTGTTCTAAAGGGACTCCATTTGTACCATTTAGGTTTGTTACAAGAATAGCACTACAGTGCCAATGTTATTTTAATTTGTGACAGCAAATCTAATTTCTTTAATCTTGCACTTAGATATGTCATTGTATTAAAAAAACAACCTTGAATCTAGGTGAGTTAATATGTATTGACAAATGATCTTGAAATGGAGTATATTATGTATAAGAGAAATGAATTTGAACTTGCATGGTCATGTTTTTTGGTACTGACACAATGACCCTGAACTTGGATGTGTTATTGCATATTGAAATTGTGACCTTGAACTTTGACATTTTGTTGTGTACTTACACAATGGTCTTGAACTTTGGCGTGTTGTTGTGTCGGTCTATGAGACTGTGCAGTATTTCCTGCACGGTAATCCTCATGGACGGGTCCTCCAGCTGAGAGAGCTGTAACAGACCGGTCAGGAACTCGGGGTGGAATGTGTTGGCCATATATATCGTCTTGTATGTCGCGGCTACCTGAAAACATTTAACACAGCATCCCTCGTATACTTATCAAGCATTATATATTTCTGTAACCTCAACATCAACTTTGATGTGATTTTCTTATAACCTTCAAAAGAGTTTACCCGATATATATAGTGTATGCATGCGTATGATGCGGTAATAGCACTAGTCTTATCAGCTGTTGTATTGACTACCACGGTATGTCTAAATGTGATGTCATTCAATGGTTTCAATGATGTCACAACATGACCATGTCTAATAAGACCACGGAGAACTGAGAGTTTTTCCATACCTTCTCACATAAGATGTTCTAACATGGCTGAAATTTGAAAGTGATGTTCATATTGTTACTGAAGTTTTCAAATCAGGCAGGAGAGAGCCTATTCATACAAGTTTGGACAGAATCCTATCAGCTAATCTACAGATTTTATTAAAGAAGGAGTTGACAGACAATAATCCATAGAACTACAGATGACTGAAAAGAACTGAAATTTTATCCTGAATTTACTAGTGAGACAGACTATGAGAGTTACACAATATGAAGTTTCCAATTTATATAGTTTATATGTCCTGAAGACAACAACCACAAGTATGGATCTCTCACCTTCTGTAACGTCTTCAGCAACATTGTCTGTAGCTGGATGTCTATAGATATTCTGTAACATAAAATAGTTAACACCAATTCTTCATAAAGGAACTGTTAGTAAATTACATTAAAAACACGTAAGATTTACCTGAGCATGATTATCGTAAAATGGAAAACATATAACACCCTCCCTATTTTCAGGTTTTTTTGGACATTAAACAAATAAAAGATAAACTTGGACACATCAAACAAGGATAGCACTGCATAATGCATACCTCAGCATTGAGATGTGGTTTTCTTAGGAGTTAGATTTCAGTTAAACCGTGTTTTCTGGGATTAAACTTTACCCTATTTCCTCCTGGTCTAGTTGTGGAAACTTGCCCATGACAAACATCATTATTTCTATCTTCTGGTAGTCGGGAAGATGGTTGGCAAATTCTCCTGGAAACGTATTAATATATCAATATAAAACACATAAAATGGTGTAAATATCATGTTTACATGATTTGTTATCAAGGTGACAGGGTGACTTAAGGATCATCCTCGATACTTCAGGGGTTAGGCGTAACTTCTGGAGAAACGAGGATGCTCAAGGACAGTCATTAAGTGTAATACAAAATTCGTCTAAATACAGTAAAAATTAGGAATTTATAAAAAAAAAACATCCTTGTCAAAAGAGAAGGATATCTAATGAAACCTCGTGTAATAGACATATAAGGCTGTAATGATGTTTTACCTATAACAATGATAATGGCCTCCTCAAACTTCTTCTCCATCTCCCTCATCTCTGCATCCTGACTCTTGTTGTCCACAGAGATCCTCAGGTGTCGGAGTAGGGTGTTGAACACATCCAGGACTGAGGGGCCTACATGGGAAGTAACACATTAAGGAGATTGACACAAGGGAGGTAACACATTAGGGAGATTCACACAAAGGTGGTAAAACATATGGAAGTAACATACAGAGATATTACAAAAGGGAGGCAACATACAACGAGCGGTATATTGTAAGGGAGGTTAAACATATAGGCAGTATCATGTAAGGGAGGTTAAACATATGGAAGAGATAATACAGAAGGCAGATACACACAAGGAAGGTGGCATGGTATAGAAAATCTTAAATCTTTTAATTGATTACTTAAAACAAAAATTAAAATACATTTATTATCTTGACATATCTACTGATGGAGATATGAAGTATTAATACTAGGGAAGGGTATGGATTTTAAATATAACAAATAACCTTATCCATTGCTGTTTACCACATTGACTCAGCTAAAATAATAATTTCAGACCAAGTTTTCACATTGTCATAAAAAATTAGGACCTTTTTTACTTTGACTTTCCCATTTCTAAAGCTCAATACTAGAATATTTATTTATGATATTTTGTACCAGATTGCAAAAGTAAATTCTTAATTGGTTTCTATAAATTTGAAACTTTCTTGTATTTAAGCCAGAACATGTTACCCTCAAGTTAAAGTGATTTTCAAATTGGAGCAATAAGTACTGCTTCACATATCCAACACTTTCTTAATCTTCAATCCAGAAAGTGAAACTGATTGTAACTAAGGCTGTGCAATCCTACTGTTACAGCAGGTAGTAAAACACATACCACTACCCAGAGAGCCGCCAGCAGCAATGAGTACAGAGTGGAAGAGAACATCAATGATGCTGGTCTTTATGGCCGGGTCACTGTTAACTCGTTTGTCCAGGTGGGACATCAACATCTGTACCACCAGGTAGGCATACTGTTGCTGTGGACATCAAAGGTAACAACATCACACACCTGTGTACTGAGGCCAATCAAATATATAAATGTGTTTCCAGTTACTGAGGCCAAACAAATATATAAATGTGTTTCCAGTTACAGATGGTTTATTTCAGGGTCTAACATTCTCACAACAGTTAAAGTTATTTCATAAAAAAAAATATGCTACGTTGCTAGGTTAAATACAACACAGTGCATTTGGAAAACCAGGTTTGTTTGTGCAGAAATGAGTTGTACTTGATTCATTATGATACTTTCTTTGATAAAAATTTCTATCCTTTAAAAAGAAATGTTACAGATACTCCATAGATTTGTTTTTATATTTGAATAAAATTGCCACGTGGACTTTTTCTTTTGTGTTCCTTTTCTTATCTAAATGTCCTTGGATTCTTTTTCAATCAAAAATGACATCTACATGGATTGTGGATTGCACAATAATATTTCAAAATCTTTCAATTATCTTTACCTTAAATGAGAGAACACATATTAGGTATTTTGATTTTATTATTATGTCATTGGGTCTAAAACGATCTGGAGACTTACCTGGACAGAATACATTATAATATTGAAGCACTTGATAGCAAAGTCATTGGGTACCCAGAGCTTATGATTGTCCATATGTCTGAAAAAAGAAGCAATTTGATCTGAGACCAAGTATAGTCGAACTGTTGTTTCAAATGAGATACTATTTTAAGAAAAGACTAACTGTCATGTTGTGAGTGTATTATGGCGGGTTCTGTCGATATGATAACTACGTACATTGATAGCTAAATGTGCACAAATAAAAATATAACTCCAAACATCCAGATTTACAGACATAAATAATATTTGACAACACATAAACATTCATGCACCCAATAAATGTCAGACCATCTTCCAGCTTTGCTCTAGCTCTGTGGAGGATGTGGAGGAACGGTAGCTATAGTGCCTGTAGCTATAGTGTTAAGATGTATACCAGTACAGGCCAACGGATGTCTATGATGATGCTGTTGTTATAGGAAACCCCTGAAATTACACTACTGCAGGCAATGAATGGTAATTATGGTACAGGACTGATGACAGCTTTGTTTACTGTTGGACACCCCCCTCCCCCAAGATACACACCAGAACCAGATATAGTTAGTGATAGTTACGATGACCCTGCGGATACATACATGAGGACAGGTCGTAGGACGGTTCTGATGTTGCCGTAGGATCCCCGACACACCAGGTCTCGGAACACCTGCTCTGCAATATAAGCCGGATGTTCCTCATCTTTAGGACTATCCAAGTCCAGGCACATAAAACTGAAAAAAAGACACAGGTAAATCTCAGAAAACGTGGACATAGTGATATACAGATTTTATATGGGCAGAGCTGCCACAATACCTTAAAGAGCATATGGGATTTTTCAAGTCTGCAACTAATTGGTTACATAATAACATGACGAAGATTTCTAACTTGCTTAAGGTATGCTAGTTAAGAAACAGACGTTACTACGGCAATAAGAAATTCACCAGAAGCAACATACACTAAGCAGTTTCCACAGATACCTTCTTTTCATAGATAAGTAAACAAAAACAATGGCTGCAGCTATTTTCATTGAAATCTTTTGTATATTAGTCATCTGCATTTGGAGAAACATTTCCATTCAATGATAAGATAATTCTATACAATGAATTACCTTTGATGTAATCAGAGCTATTGATAGTGAAAATGATTTAAAAAATTGTCATTATTAAAACAGATATTACAAGTAACAACAGACTATTTTGTCAATGTTAAACTTAAGATCAGTTGTCATGTTTATTAAAACTTTACTTACTTCTGATTGTGCATGTTATAGAGAAGAGACGGTACAATTTTGTCCATGTGGACATCCTCCCAAATGTTCACCTGAAGATCGTCACTGGCCGTCTTTTTCACTACGCCCTGTAGACCACGTAATCCTGCACTCTGTATCCTACCACAGGAAATGAACAATTGATATTTTGTGTTAATAAAGGGTTCGACTGAGAAAGTAAACACCTTCTTATTTATAAAAATTTAAAAACAAAAATGATCTATTTCTTCACTTTATGATAGAAGGGTTTATGCCATGTATGTAAGTCTCTACTGTATGCCTGTACTTTGTATACCAACAATGGTCAACTTAAACATAGTCTATCTCACTATAATTGTGGAGAAAAGAGGGAGTATGGTTCGCAAACTTAATTCATCTCAAATTTTGACCTACATTGTATTATGTCCAGCTGTTGATTTATATCTAATCTGTATACCCCTTACCTGTGACATCAGCAAGAACCTGGATGTATGGCAAGGGGTTTGGCAGAGGTAGGGAATGAATGGGGTTGAGGTGGGGCAGAGGTAGGGAATGAATGGGGTTGGGGTAGGGCAGAGGTAGGGAATGGATGGGGTTGTGGTAGGGCAGAGGTAGGGAATGGATGGGGTTGTGGTGGGGCAGAGGTAGGGGATGGATGGGGTTGAGGTGGGGCAGAGGTAGGGAATGATTGGGGTTGAGGTGGGGCAGAGGGAGGGAATGAATGGGGTTGTGGTAGGGCAGAGGTAGGGAATGGATGGGGTTGTGGTTGGGCAGAGGGAGGGAATGGATAGGGTTGAGGTTGGGCAGAGGTAGGGAATGAATGGGGTTGAGGTAGGACAGAGGTAGGGAATGGATGGGGTTGAGGTCGGGCAGAGGTAGGGAATGAATGGGGTTGAGGTAGGACAGAGGTAGGGAATGGATGGGGTTGAGGTTGGGCAGAGGTAGGGAATGGATGGGGTTGAGGTTGGGCAGAGGTAGGGAATGAATGGGGTTGGGGTGGGGCAGAGGTAGGGAATGGATGGGGTTGAGGTCGGGCAGAGGTAGGGAATGAATGGGGTTGGGGTAGGGCAGAGGTAGGGAATGGATGGGGTTGTGGTTGGGCAGAGGTAGGGAATGGATAGGGTTGAGGTGGGGCAGAGGTAGGGAATGATTGGGGTTGAGGTGGGGCAGAGGGAGGGGATGGATGGGGTTGGGGTGGGGCAGAGGTAGGGAATGGATGGGGTTGAGGTCGGGCAGAGGTAGGGAATGAATGGGGTTGAGGTAGGACAGAGGTAGGGAATGGATGGGGTTGAGGTTGGGCAGAGGTAGGGAATGGATGGGGTTGTGGTTGGGCAGAGGTAGGGAATGGATAGGGTTGAGGTGGGGCAGAGGTAGGGAATGATTGGGGTTGAGGTGGGGCAGAGGGAGGGGATGGATGGGGTTGGGGTGGGGCAGAGGTAGGGAATGGATGGGGTTGTGGTTGGGCAGAGGTAGGGAATGGATAGGGTTGAGGTTGGGCAGAGGTAGGGAATGAATGGGGTTGAGGTAGGACAGAGGTAGGGAATGGATGGGGTTGAGGTGGGGCAGAGGTAGGGAATGGATTGGGTTGAGGTGGGGCAGATCTAGAGGAATGGTCTAAATACCAAGCATAGGCTTATCAAAGGTCATACATGCCAAGATTTGGTCTTCAACATCATATTTCACTTGGATCTTTGATACTTATTTCAAGTTTACCTTGTTCTTATTTCATCATTAGATTTCCCGCTGTGACACATGGAGCTGAACTTTGACACAAAGAAGTCGTAACGTCTGTGGTAGGATGGTGTGTCTTCTTCAATATTGGTAAATTTAACAAACTGAAACATGTTGATAGAAATTTACAGAATCATCTAATTAAAGCTAACACATCTCTAACTATTGTTATAAATTATCTTATACCTTTCCTAATATATACTGCTGACACTAAAGATTTGATATCATATTTAAGATAATTAAGAATCGGTTAAGTCAGGATTTGTGTTTCAATGACACTAATGAAACTTCTGAAAATCAGAATAATGCCTACTTACATGTACGTAGCAAATCCTTTTCTTGATTCAACATTAAATAAATTTGTTTCGCCCATATATAAATTTGTTTCGCCCCATATATAAATTTGTTTCGCCCCATATATAAATTTCCATTCTTTCTTTCTCACGTTTTAACATTTGAACAGACACATTCTCACAAAATCAGACAGTTGAACATACATATTCTCACAAAATCATAGCTTAATTCCAAAATTAACTGTAAGTATTTTAATGACAGTACTTTTAACCTCAAGCATTTCTCTTTGATATTATAAAGAAGAAAAAAGAATCCTAGCTTACCGACTGTGTGGCAAGAATCTGTAGGTCTGGTTCATCCAACTCAAGGAGTTTTTGGACCATCTTCAGGAAACTCTCAACAAACAGGTTGAGGGAGTGAGAATGACAGGACACTAGAAGCTGATCTAGGGCATCCATGGCAACGAACACCAGTCTGAAACACAGATCATTTAACTTTTGTACTCAAATGTCATAGACGAAAATGTCCTCACAGTGGCCTGAAAAGGCATGCAGGATACCCAAGACTAAGACCCCCTCAAAAACTACATATTACTTTTAAGTTCTTCCACAGGTCTGTTCTAGATTCTGTATCATTGTAGATACAACATGGCTTCTCCAAACCTACATGTACACTTACCCTATCCTCCTACGGTGTATGTCACTGGCAAGTTTTTTTTCCATGTAGGTTCCAATTCTGTCCAGCTTTTCCGGTGAGGATATGGCATAAAATGTCAGCTTGTCCATCTCATTCTTGACAAGTCCATCCTGTACAACAGAGAATAAAACATGGATTATATTTTATGTTTACTTAATTAAATAATAATGGATAAAGACTTAAAGCCTCTAGGTCCATAGGTCTCTAGGTTGATGATTCCATCATCTATTTATGGATTGCAACTTACTACAGTGTATTTCCAATAATTCACCAAATGATTATATAAATGGGCAATAGGGGGAACGATGGACAAATTGATGTTGGCAGGCACTACTAGAAACAATCTTACCTCTGGGTTAACTGGGAAGATGTTGTCGACGAGACGCTTCCATCTTGGCTTAAGAGCAGAGCAGCATCCACAACATGCTGAAAAGATTTTTAAAAAGAGACAAAATAAAACACTGAATCCAGTTCAGGTCCAGTACACTCTGCTGATTGAGCTATATAGCTGTAAAGACCTATAATAGCTCTATTGACCTATCTGAAATAGGTCTTTTGACCTATTTTCAAGTGATTTTCTTTTTTTAAAGAAAACGAAACAAAGTCGCTTTTAAAAGAAGATTGTATCATTAGGTTGATAACAAAAGACATTAAATATAAGTATTCTTTTAAAAAAATAATGGTGTAAAAAAATCGGAAATTTTACATTTATGAAAAATGAAAATAAACATCTAACTGTATGCTCTTTGTAGTCAACATTACCATAAACCTTATTGTTTTATGCGACTTTGCTTTAATTTAATGAAATTTGAAATCTGAGAAAATATAGCTCAATACATCTATAATTTATAGGTGTATATAGCTATATAGCTCAATCGGCAGAGTGTACTGGACCTGCAGTTACAAATTGGAAATATTATAATTAACATGATTGTTTATTGTATCCTTTTGAGATGATTTGGAAAGTTTGCAAGACAAAGTTTCAAAAGAATGAAAGTAAAATGAAAAGCTTTGGTTAGTCCGAAATTACAATTGTGTATGTAGTATTTTCCTCCAGATCTAATTTGACTACAGTAGGGACCGGGCACAGGAGTCTGATGTTTAATCAATATAAGTATAACAGTATATATATAAAAAATGGGGTATCTTTTTTATATATAGACTGTTATTCTTATATTGATTAAACGTCAGACTCCTGTGGACCGGGGTGCAGATCTTACAAGTTTGCAGTGGATGATAAAATACGAATATACCAAATACAGCACCAAATTACTTTTTCGGTAACGTTCAAGAATACAAACAAAATTATCAAACAGCTATACTACCATTATCCATACATCTCAACACCCAGGGGCCTGTTCGTTTATGCGGAACAACCGGTTTGACCGCTTATAAATGTAACAATTTCGGGTAAAAATCCTGGCGGACCTGCAGATGTTTATGCAGGCCTTGCAAGGCTTTGTCAAGGCTCGCCTTAAAGCAGCATCAGATTACTAGGTTCGACCTTATTTAATAAACGAACAACATTGGTAGATCGGTTTGACCGTTTAAACGAAAACGGCCCAGTTTGCTGTCTGCTCTCTCCACAACATTTAATAATCGATGTCAACATCGAACAGTAGATAGTCAGTTGGTGCATGGCCGCTGTGTTAAGCATATGGATGCAGCTTTTAAAATCTATACAAACCTGCCATATTGTCGGGTAGGTGGATGTCCGTATCAAGTCATCTGTCTAGTATTAGGCGTCCAAGTGCAGCACTATCACTCGAATAATCAAGTACAAACCCCTACCCTTTGCTAACCCGCTAAGTCTGACATCGGAACTCTTCTGTTAAATTTGTTAGAGTTACTCCCCTTTAATCTGATTAAGGTAGCACAACATCAATTTCTAGTACTGGATACACCCACAAAAAGATGTTGTAATTTCCCCATCAGTACGTGGAAACTGACATACAGTATTTCCCAACCCAATTGAAATGGTCCAAACTGAGGAAAACAACAGGCTGTAAATTCAGTCATGTAGTATGAAGAAACGTTATGTGCGGGGTAGGATATCGAATTTTTCAAGGTGGCTGGGACCAGTTGCTTCTTTTTCATCATATTTCTGGTGTTTTGTCTGGTACATGGAAATGCACCATCGTGCCGATGGCAACACATATACAGTAGGAGCATGACGTCAACTTGAACGCTTTTGACATTCTTATATTTGAAACATTATTTATTAAAAGATATATGTGCTACTTTCTGGATTTCAGTGTTTTTAAGTAGAAGTATACAAACTCTTGTTATGAATTTAAACTGGCTAAATCAAATAAGACCAGGTCATAGAAACAATCTTATAACAGTTTGAAATCATTTAAATGCAATCTCAATGGGTTTAAGATGTACCTTGGTCATGAGATTTCTTTCCACGGATACAGGTCTAGTCACTTATAAAACTAGTCCAAGGTCTTAATGATGTTACGGTCAGTTCATGCTAAACAACAAAATATCAAATTTTTCCTACATCTACTTATGATCGGCTCAAACAGTTGGTATGTGTGGAATGCCCAGATCGATTTTGATACTAGTGGAAAGATAACCAAAACGTTTTATATATCTAATATAGTTTTAAAAGTTGCTGAGACAAACAAAAAACAAGGGATATATTATACATATAACTCTACATGACAATTATGCAAGTGTGACTGAGCGTTTTGTCCGTTTCAAAGACAGAAGTGATATTTGTGAAAATATATTTGTAAGAAAATGAAATGTAAGCATGACGGATTAACCTCATCCTCAAAAACTCAATAAAAGAATGAACGAATCTAAAATGCATTTAAGATTTTCCTTCGTGATAATAGAATAAAATCATGGCAGCGGTGGGATTCGAACCCACGCCTCCGAAGAGACT